AAAAAAAAAAAAAAAAAAAAACCCAAATCGTATGCATGTCCCCAGTAGATTCTGAGTATCAGTGAACTAAAGCTTATTACAGGACACCCCCAATATTTTTTTTTATATTATATATATCCTATTGATTCTATGCAAAAACAAACAAGAAGAAAATCCTTTCTACTCCTCTATTATATAAACCCTTCCCTGCTCCAGTCCCTTTTTATAAAAATATAAAATAATTTAAATAATTAAAAAAATAAAAAATCCAATGGCTTTTTCATACGGCACATGAATTTTCTCCCCATTAATACTATTATAACCCTTACTCTCTCTCTCTCTCTCGGTTTCTGTACTTTGAAGACTCTTTTGGGAAGGAAGGCCATGGGAAGAGCTCCTTGCTGCGACAAAGCAAACGTGAAGAAGGGTCCATGGTCGCCCGATGAAGATGCGAAGCTCAAATTCTATATCGAGCAGCACGGTACAGGTGGAAACTGGATCGCGCTGCCTCAGAAAATCGGTTACAAAGCTATACCCTAACTTATCGACTTAAGTTTTTAGGTATTTTTTTTTTTTTTTTATATGAAATGGAAGTGGATTTGATTTTGGGGTCGATTAGGTCTTAAGCGATGTGGGAAAAGTTGTCGACTCCGTTGGTTGAACTACCTTCGTCCGAATATTAAGCACGGGGATTTCACTGAAGAAGAAGATAGAATAATTTGCAGCCTTTATGTAAACATTGGAAGCAGGTAAATACAATTTTACTAGAGGTATTGTGAATTTAATTAATTTGAAATTAAAATTAAATCGGATGTGTCGAGGCAGATGGTCGATTATTGCGGCTCAATTGCCTGGAAGAACAGATAACGATATAAAGAACTACTGGAACACGAGGTTGAAGAAGAGATTATATGGGAAGCACCACGAGAAGCAACAACAACCGGTGAGAAGAGGAAGAAAAATCAAATCCGAAATTGGAAATTCCATGGATATTGTCTTTGATAATCATGTTATTTATGATAATGATAATAACCAATTACCTTTCTTGCCGGAGTTAACCACGGCGCTCAATTCGCCGCCGCCACCTCCGCCGTATGCAAATTACCAACCGCTTCAATTCCCTTCAACTCCTCAGCAACTTTCCGGCGTTGATCTGAGCAGAAGAGACGATGTCCAGTTTGAAATGGATGGGGGTTCGTGTCTACCGGCCACGAGCTGCCAAGTAGGTGAGTTGGAGAAGGTTGTTTACAGCAATACGGCGTCGTTTGAGGATGGGCTGCAGTTTTCATATGATAACAATGGGTTGATGAACGATCTAGATTGGGGGGAAATGAGTTGTTTGATTTCTGCTCCTTCATATTCCTCAATGGCTCATGATTCCATGATTGGTTCGTCTTATTTGGAGCAGCAAAAGCAAAAGCAATAGCTTAATCAAAGAGTATCAAAGTTATGTGAATGTGTACATAACCCAATAGGCCAGGCTTCTTTTAGAAGTAAAACCCTAAGAAGTTTTGATTCTGTGTAATTCTTTCAAATGTGGTTTAAAATAAAATCTCATTTTTATGCCGATTATCGTTTCAAATGCCTTATTAGGACAATAAAAATGTATGGAAATTAGGAAAGGTTAGCTAATATGTTAGTGGGTGTTGTTATTAAAATTTAAGAGATATTGCTTTCCCTTTATAGTCTTATTCATTTAATTACTATATTTTATGATGCACTTTGTTCAAACAACAAAGAACTCATTAATATCTAATCAAAAAGATTATCTTTTAATTCAAACTTTATTTCTTCCTTCAACTTTTATATTCTCTTATAATCATTGTAGTTCATTTTTTTTTTTTAAATGTAAATCCTCTCATTATATTGTTCGTGTTTATGGAAGGTTAAATTTTATTTATTGTCGGTCAAATTTGATGCTTTCGTGAAAGCCAAGAATAAGATGGTTAATTTGATCGAGCGAAAACATCTTGTTAATGAAAGATATTTAAGAAAATAGTCTACGAGGCCTTCACTTTTGACGAGATGTATGGAAGGGAATAATCTTTTATGATCACTCATTAACTTTATGTAATTTTATACCGTTATTCTTAGTACAAGCTTCGACTCATACAACTCAACTATTAAATTTTCTAAAATCGACGAGTGAAATTACAACTTTAAAATTAAAATTAACCCGTCAATATAAAGGGTTAATAACATATAACAAAACAGTATGATCCCTATTTTGTATATAGCTGGTTTGATCCTCAAACCCTATCAAGCAGGCCTCATATAAAGGGTTCCTCCCAAATCCTTGATGGTTAGTTCAAATTACAGTTGTCTTTCTTTTTTGTTTGTTCAAAATAATGTGTTTAAGATTTATAAATTTTGAGTATGCTTGTATTTGGTAGGCAAGTAGGCAACTGACTTGATTTGTTAGAAATGGTTGACATTTTTTAAAAATCTTATAGCTACTTTTTGCCAATGATTCAAACATGCTGGCCCATTCCAAAACCAACCATCTAGAAAAAAAATGGTAACTTTTTAATTTAATGATATATAAAATCTACAAGGGGTTTTATTTTATTTATTTATTTTAAATAATTTTATGATATAAAATTTCATGCACCCTATATTGAATTGTGATTAAATAAAAAATAAAATAAAAATGAAGTATTTACTTGAAATTATTGTCTATGGTTGGAGTGCAAGTGATGTTGAACTCCCGAGTTCGACCCTAGTGCACTGGTTAGTAGCACTAATGCAGCGTACGAATGACCATGCAACGGTTAGTAGCCCTAATGCAGCGTACGAATGCTCGTGCATTGGTTAGTAGCTTTAATGTGGCGTATGAATTGTTGAAGGTCTATTTTGGGTTGTATGAACGAGCACTTGATCCAAGTATCTGCAAGGGCATTGGGGAAGGGTGTCGTAGAAGAATATCCCGTACGTAGAACAAGCACATCAACAAAACGCCCAAACAGGAAACGTCCAAGGCTTCAAAACCTCAAGTAATAAGTATTATAATTTACATATAAATAATAATGCCCTCTTTCAACTTGCCTTTAACAATATATATATATATATATTATATATTGGTTGGGCTTAAAAACTGCTAACACCCAAACGACGACGTATCTAATCCCCCCTTCCTCATTTTATATTATAAATTTAGGAAAAACGACGTAGTATGTGGTCCGTGCTGAATGACAAAATCTTAATTCTTTTCTTTATATTATGACAAATACTCCGTCACATTATCTTCAACATTTTGTCGGCTATCTTTACTGAATTTTATAATATATAGTTTTTTAAAAATGGAATTTCAGTTATTTCACTATTTCCGAGGAGGGTAAATTCCATTTAAATTTAATCACTTGTCAGAATTGTTATAACTTATTGGGCCCTTCGTTATTGGGCCGAGCCATTAGTATTCGTGACGGAGCCCAACCAAATAAATTGGAAAATAAAATAAAATAGATTATAAAAATTTCAAAAATAAATGGAAAAAAGAAAAGATGGGAAAAAAATGACGAGGCTTCTGGGTGTTCGGGAATCATGAATCGGAGAACCCACCCAACCCTACTTAGATAGAGAAAGAGAGGGAAAATTAATGTATAGAAGACGAAGGCGATAACGGCTAACGGCGAATTCAGGGACATCAAATGGCGCTGCCGGCGTCAATTCCGCTGCCCTCCGTATCTCCCACGTCCAGGGTAACAAACTTGTTTATCGACTCGCTTGATTTATGATGAATTACCAAATGAACTGATTGAGCTCGATAATTTACTTGCCTTAGTTTCTTTTAGGCATTTCCTTAATTTGTTAGATTACTTCAGGACTCCAAGAAGCCAAGTGTGTGCAAATTTCTTTATATCTTCTTCTAGGTTTATTGGTATAATCGTATTGCTCGTCGGCTAATTGTGATTGAATCCTGGAGAAAGAGGTTTGTATCATTTGTTACGCTTTGAACCTACTGGATACCAGTTGCTTCAGGGAATGGACTGATGAGATTCTGAGATTCTGAAGGGAAAACGTTGATTTAGTTAATTTAGGTATGGGGAATTGCTGGGGGTTTAAAGTAGTTAATTTAGGTAGTTTTGGTTTCGAAAATAGAATACTGTTGATTTTGATTTTGATTTAGTTCATTAATTTAGTAGACTTGCTAGTTTCTTGAGATTTTTCTTGTTCTGGTGTCACACTTCGCGTTGTGTTTGGCAACTTTTGCTATTACGGATGCTTAATGCATTGGACTAATCAACTTTACTTTTACTCATAAGCTCAAGTGTTTGAGTTGGTTAATGATTTAATATGGTATTAGATGTGAGATCCCACATCGGTTGGGGAGAAGAATGAAACATTCTTTATAAGGGTGTGGAAACCTCTCCGTAGCAGACGCATTTTAAAAACTTTGAGAGAAAGCTCGAAAGGGAAAGCTTGAAAGGGAAAATCCAAAGAAGACCGTATCTGCTAGTGGTAGACTTGGACTCTTACATTAAAGTAAGAGAGTAAGAGCTCCTATGTCTGAACCCTGTAATGTCACTTAGTGGGTCTTCTACTAATTTCCAAGCCCATGAGGGGAGAGTTTTAAAAGCACAAAAATAATTGAATTTACTGTACCTCATCAACCTAAGTTTCTAAGTTGATTGGTGACTTTACGAAATGAGATTTTGGATATTTTGCTCACTTTGAGATACATTTACCCCTTGTTTTATGACCCTTGATCCAACATAGGCTTGAGAATGTTTTTGCCTATTTCTGCAGATTAGACTGCTCAAGGAGAAACCATCGTTCGGGCCTAATAGCTGCTTGCTGCTGCTTGGCAGTCGCCGATCTACCATTGCTTGTTCAATGAAAGCAAAAATGGCTGGGTTTATGGATTCTAATTCTATGCCCATACGAATTGAAAATTTGAAAGAGAAGATGCAAGAGGTCATGCCTGAACCCGTCAAAACTTTTCCATGGAAGGATGCAGAGAAGATACTGGTGGAGAGACTGCTTTTTATGGGAAAGGAGACAGTGAAGTGGTCTGTTCTCTTGTTCTTTGTTGTTAGCTCCTTATCAGATTTTGTAGCATCTATAGTTAAAAACCAGGAGTTATTGATTCCCATTGGTCTCTTTGCTGGTGTCTTGTTGACTAACCTTTTAAAAGAGATATCTCAAGAAGTGTTCGGCAACTCTGAGGTATATTTTTTTTTACTTTATTCCATATACTTAAATTTTTCTTCATCCTTCAAGTAATAGAAAATCAACCATTCTATAGGATTCGAGTTTCAAAAAGAAACTTTACGGTCTCGGTTCCTTCTTCGTTCTTGCGAAGCTAATTACTTATGGCCTCACAATTCAAGTACAGACATTTCCTCTGCATGTAGCAAATGGTGGGTTAATGCAAGTTTTGTGGCTGTGGAAAAATTTGTCAAGAGAAACAAATCGACTGGATGAACAGAGCCCTTCTGTCGGTGAAGGTACGTCTTAAAGCAAGGACGAATTAGATTGTTTCGAATGTGTTTATATTTGCTATCATGAAGAATCTGGTCGTCGTGTAATGGTGAAAACCATAATATGATGAGATGTATGTGAACCTTGTTCATCATTGTGAGACACATTAGTGAGCCAGTCATGTACGATAGGTTTTATTTTTCTTTGAGTTCAACAAAATGCGGGGCGGAGGTATTTGAACTCTTGACCTCTGGTCGAAGACATATTTAACTAGTGAGTTATGCTCAAATTTGCATGTATGAGAATTTTTGCTCTGGGAGGTAATTCTGGCTCGGTATTGTGTATCGGCTTCATAATTTGATAATGAGCAATGTTTGGTGGCGTCCTTTCGCCCTGCCTCTTTTTGTCAACTTTCATCCTAAATTGTGATTCTTTCACGAAATTGTTGCATTTGAGTTTCTGTAGAAAGGCATTGCAGTGATTCGATTAGTGAAAGAATACCATGGAAAAATTTCCTTAGTTGTTTTTGTTCCATGTGGTAGATTTTAAAACTACTTTTGAGATATAGAGCATAGGGATAACAAATTAATACCGCTAAATTTGTTTTTAAAGAATTAAAGCGAATTTATTATTACAACAAATTTATTTTTGAGAAATTATTTTGTAGTCAATTAAAGGGAAAAAAGCTTTTTTTTTTTGTTGCAAATTTCTTTCTTCCAAATTAGATCATCGTGCGGACGGTTCGTGATAAACACTGAAACCTTACAGATTGGGAAGTGAATCGTGGGCTTTCTTAGGCCCAACACATCTATACACGTGCCATTCAGCCGACATGTCGTACAGTCAATCACGATATGTTAATTAATGAATCTCCCTTCTCCAACGCGTACCTTATTGTTTTGTGAATTTTTTCTAATTTGCCACGTATGCTAATTTTATGAGGTTCCATGTGAGCGAGCACACACGATCTCCGCCCCCGACTATATATATAAGGAAATGTAAATGGCGGGAACCAGAGATGTAGAGATGGTCTGAGTTTTGAGTGAGAATGTCTCTGTGGCGAAAGAAATGAGGAACGACGATTATCATTTGGAACGTTTTTACCTTTGGCCTCGTCGGCGCCGCGACATCCACTTCCTTCGCCGTGTGGTTTACGCTATTCGTATGTTTGGATTGCTTTCAGGAACCGGATGATCGGAAGCTTTGGAGGATATTTTTCTCTGGAATAATCAGCGCCACAGCGTCCATTATTTCCGTGAGTTTTGCGCTTTTCATTTGCTGTGTAATTATTCGGCTCATTTTCCGTATGAGTGATGAATACATTTGATCTCTTTTTTTTCCTGTTAGAATATGGATGGTTCTATGATCATGATTCTACTCTGTTTTCCTCTTGCACTTGCCTTTTCCTAGAACGTTATCGTTTGATATATCAGTTAACTGAGTGGTTTTCACGCTTTAATTAAGAACGCAGTACGATTTGAATAGTGTTCTAGAATGCGCTTCGCTTTCGAATATACTAAATCGAGCGTGGTCTGAACTGGAGATCTTTACCGCGGTCCGGAATGGTAGCATATTGTACTTCCTTTTCCGTTTATAATAGGAGATCAACCATTTTGATAAGCCTGGTCTGAACTGTGCTTATAAATCTACGGAGATCTGCTTGCTTAAGTTAAGGCTCAAGTACAGTTAACTTGAATCTGCACACTATTCCTGACTCTTTCTTTTTTGTTGAGAAATATAGGTCACGTTCTGCCTGATTCAATGTGCAATATAGGTGAGAATACTGATAAGCTATTTCCTATGATGTTTACTTATTTACATCCTGTCCTATTGAACTTCAGTATTCGGTCAATCTTTTATGGCTTCCATACGGAGTTGGAAGAGTCATTTGGTTTGGCTATCAGGTCAACATGTCAATGTCTTGTTGCATCACATTTTCTGTTGCATGCGGTTGTTTTATCAATCTTTTTTTCTTTTCCTCTTTGTTGCTGGAAATGGATGCATCATTCGTCCTGTATTAGAATCTACTGACAGTGCGATCTAGACTATTTGCTTTCGTTGATATCTGAAATTTCATTTCTGTCACTTGTACACGAATTTCCTTTTTTCTTTGTGGAAGGAAATTATTCCGACCTACATTTCTACTACTATAGTTAAATTATTTCTCTGCATGTTTGTGAAATTTTGCTAGGATTTGACGGACAAGAAACAGTTTCCTGAAAAACTGGACTAATCACTAAACATTAATCTGTAATATTTAGTTTTCTTTATGGTTCTGTTGCCAAAGTCGATTTCTATTTAAATATGTAGCATCCGCTTGGCTGATTATTCTATTTGTAGTTTCTATTGTTATTGATCATGTAGTCGGATTGTGCTTAATGATATGAACAACTATGAAGACAATAATATGATATAATAGTGAGGCTGGTAGCTGATATCTAGAGTATAAGATTATGAAAGCTCTGGTAGAAATAGTTCTTACCAACGAATGATTGGATTTGAGATCTCTTTTGTCAAATGGACTCGAGATGCTTGGTACTTCTAATGGGGAAAAGCTAATTATTCATGGTCATTGCTCAAGAAAAAATGATTAGCTCTTTCCAATCAAAATTTCTGGAGGAAGGGAGGAAAAAGATATATTGGCAGCGTGCAAGAGGAGTATGAACTATGGAGTGGTGCTTTTCAAAATTTTATTTTAAACATAACAAGCCCTTGTCCAGATTTTTGTCTCTTCTTTTTTTTAAGAAAAATAGTATATTGTCTTTCTATTGGTGTTAAGAAATATAAGCAGAGATTTATAGGCATCAAAATCATTTCACATTTCACATTTTTTGTGTCTTTTCTTTGTCAATTCAAGTTTTTTTTTTTTTTTTTTTTTTTTTTTTTTTTTTTTTTTTTTT